GTTGAGCAGGTTCTGGTCGGGTTGAGCAGGTTCTGGTCGGGTTGAGCAGGTTCTGGTCGGGTTGAGCAGGTTCTGGTCAGATTCAGGAGGTTCTGGTCGGGTTGAGGAGGTTCTGGTCGGGTTGAGGAGGTTCTGGTCAGATTCAGGAGGTTCTGGTCGGGTTGAGCAGGTTCTGGTCAGATTCAGGAGGTTCTGGTCGGGTTGAGCAGGTTCTGGTCAGATTCAGGAGGTTCTGGTCGGGTCCAGAACCAGCTGGAAACTCACTGCTGTTCAATTCAACGATATAATAGAATAAAACCAATAAATAGTTTTTGTTTCCAGAACTTTCTCAGTTTATTCTGTCTGTCATGTTTTACAGTGAACCTCGTGACCTTTGCCCTTTAAAGGGCTACTTTTCCATATAAACTACAACTGACAGTCGCTGTGACTAAAATGGCAGAATATCAAGAATTGTTTTCTGAAAGTTTCATGATTATTTTCTAAAAAATGTTTGAAATGAAGGATTAAAAGAAAGATTTCAGATCCAAACGGTTTCAGAACAGAGCCCAGAACCTGATCCTTTAACTGTGTGGACCTGACTGAAGTCATGGTAATAAATACCAGCCTATTTAAAGGCTCCACATGACCTCCAGGATAAACCCAGAGGTCACATTTCCACTTCCGGGTCACAGCGAGGGAACATTCACTGCTTATTTAAACTAAATCCGTTAAACTTCATTTATGTGACAAATTCAACTCATTTCTTCCAATTAATCAGTTAAAAGAACAGAAGCAAACTTCCGAGTGGCCTCTGACGTCAGCGCCGTTATTTATACTGTGTGACGTCACTCAGCGGCTTAAAAACACCTGGAAGCTAAGAGCTAAGCTAACAGGCTCGGAGCAGGCTGCCGGCGGAGCGAACAGAACCGTATTGCGGTCCGGCAGCGGCCGCGTGCCGCCTGGTGAGCAGCGATCAGAACCGGTTCCGGACCGGACGAACCCCCCAAAGCCCGGTTTAGAAGCTTCGGTACCTTTAGACCTGTTGAGCCCAGCTGACAGCGGACACGTCCAGTGACAGCAAGCCCCGCCCACCGCTGCAAGCTGGCTCCTGCGGCTGCCAATCAGGGTTCAGAGTCGTTCAGGGACGCTGGCTGCGATAGGAAAAATTAGTTTCTCCGGATCAACAGGAAAACGAACGGTCTCTATCACAGACATGAATAGTAGACGCCTTATGGAGCGGGTCGGCCCGTTGCTGTGATACGTCACAGCGTCCGCCATATTGAATGTGGAATATGTGCCAGTAAGCTAATACAAGTGAATGGATCGAACTTTATAAAGTGCCGTTCTACAAAGTATATTAAGTTAATAAAAT